GCCTTGTTTGAGGGCTGAGAGTGAATGTCCAGGGGATTCTTAGTGTGTCTAATCCCGAAGTGGCACATTCCACGAGGCTAATCTGCCCAAATTTATTGCTTACTTGAAACGTCTTTGGGGGAAGAGCCAGGCAAGTGACTTTTTTTTTTCCAGTGGGCGGTCATAAGAGCATTATTAACAGGATGACCAGCCCCAGTCGCTGCAAAATGAAAGCAACATTTGCTGCTGTGGTTCTGCCTTTTGCCACCACCAAGTCTGTGCTCAGGTAAAAGGATTTCATCTAACTTGCCTTTTTTTTTTTTTTCACTCAAATAGTGAATGAATCTGGGAACCTGGAGAAACACCAAAGGAATGTCCAGGGAGGTGCTGAGGGAAAGGAAAAAGACAAAACGGAACCTAGACATTCAGTCCTTTTCGGACTTTGGTTTACTGTTGTGGTTAGCACAGAGTGTACATGTGGAGTATAATAATCGCAGACTGGGGAGCATCGGTCAGTTTTGCTTGTAATTTGCTCCTGGAGTGGGAAGACTCTCTCAAGTTGCAATTGGTCTGAGTTGATGCCGTTCTGTTAAATGGCCCTGGGAAGGGTTAGGTAGCATTTGCTGAGACTTTGTGGAGTCAGATCTCATATATTTTCCATATATATACTTGCTAGCCATTCTTGCCCGGATAAGTTCTTGATCTTGTAGCTAAGTGAAAAGTTATGAAATCCAGAAGCTGAAGGTAAGTAGTTAGAGATAAAATAATGTATTGGACTAATATTTTTAACAAGGCCTTTGTGGAAAAAGATTTTTTTAAAAGTGTTAAACTTTAAATTTAAATACATTTATTTTCTTTCTAATTTTGTTTTTCAGATATTTTGTTGGTTTATAGTTATTAGCATATTTTAGGAACTAGATATTTGATGTATGAAATTAGTACTTTGCTTTGGGGTAACCATTGTACTTTGTGCAAAATGTTAATGTCATCTATTTTTTTTTGTTTGAATAAGATGTCCTTTAATTATTAGCCTCTGAAAATTACTTCCTTGTTACACATCACACATGACTGATAATGCAGAAAGACAAGAAAGAAAATAGCTGTTCACAAACTCAGTCAGGGTTGTGTGACCATTGTACCTTTGAAAAGGAATGTGAAAAAATAATTTTCTTATGGCCAGTAGAAGTCCTTTTTTTATGAATACACCGAACTTCCAAAGTATATTTTAAAAGAAAATATTTTAGAACATAGAGTCCACTGGAACTTTGCATTAGAAGAGAATTAAAGGGTCAGCAAAAAACATGGCATGTCAAAACTATTTCATGCTTTCTAATAGCAGGGATAGCCATTCTGTACTCACTTAGTTGGATATTGAAGCCAAGTATAAAGCTTCACACAGAGCATTTCAAAGCCTTGGATCAAAAGGAAAGGGAATTAGTTTAGGGAACAAGTTAAACCATGATTATACATCAAATATGCCCTCTCCAAGAAAATAATTTTAAAAATCGACTGTCTGTCCACACTGAAGACCTGAATAAAAACGCAATAAAGCAGAGCCCACAATAGAGCAAATTATATTTTGTAGAATTCCTAATTCATATGTTTTATATTCTTTCTATTAAGCATTATACTTTTCTTCTCAAAAGAGGAATCAAGTTCAATTGAATAATGGAAAGCTTTTTTATATTACACTTCTTTCCCCCTTCCCAACCTTAATTTTCTGTGTCATTGACAGGGAAATGGTTAATACGCTAATAATAAGACATAGAATCCAATCCTTCATTTCTTCCCTAACAATGAGGTAACTTTTCACTCTTGTGAAGATAATTTAGTTGTGAAATTGTTCAAAAGTCAAATACTTTATACTTGAAGATGAGCAATTTTTATGTAGTTTCTTACTGCAGAACATGTGATTAAAACTTCTAAGGCCTCCAAGTGGAATTGGGAAGTTATGTAGATGCCCTTGGGAAGTAGAATCCATCTGTCATGGTTCCCCATATTCTCAAGCTGGGAATTCTGTGGTGATTACAGTTCTTTGTCATACCCATTATAGTGATATCCTTTTATTTTTTAATTTTATTTTTTCATATTCTGATGTTTTTTTAATGTCCCACCTAATTAGTTACCGAACGAGGAAGAGCAGACAGCAAAGTTTAGCTACTATATGGACTATACAGTTGAAATGAGGAGGGCAGAGTCATAACTATAGATTGGTTTGAAGACATGCCCTTAGAAATCCAATTCTGCACAAGTACTATGACCTCCGAGGCACACCCAAATGGCACTGACCTTATCAATAGTATCTAGGTCAATAATTTCTCATATGAAGAGGCACTTTAGCAGTGGGTAAGAATGTGAACTCTGGCATTTCTTTTATTTCTGGTTTGTCATATTTCTCTTAGATTCCTCATGTTCAAATTCTGGCCATAAAATTCACTCACTGCACCTCTCTAACTCAATTCTTGTTGGGAGTTTCCTCTCATGATTCTTATAAAAAAAAATCCATATTCTATAAGATCCATAAATGATCCATGGAAATAATACATATTCTAGGCACTGTGAGAAAGAACAGATATGCATTATTACTACTGAAAGAGTTCCTCCTAAATCCCAGGCACTTTTTCTGAATCATCAACGTTGATTCCTACATAGATAACTGTGATCATCCCTGGGGAAGTGAAATAATTGTTCTTTATGCCACACTAATGGCCTACCAGGTTTTCTGCGGGTATATCATTTTCAATGCAAAGTCAGATCACTTTATATCAGATTTTCAACAGAAATATCTAACACTCCTGACTTTTCACCTGAAATTTTAGGACAGAAACCATCGGTCTAAGTTATTTGTCTTAAAATATGAGGAAGATATAGCCAAGCAATTATATTTAATGTTATTGTCGTGGGCCATATTGCAGATGGAGAAAACAGAATTATGGAAACCTTGAGCTTGTCCAAGTCACAGAGTCTCACAGCACTTTTATTTGGAAGGTCGTATTTCCTGCAGTCTTTAGGGGCTACTTCTGACTCAGTACTCAAGGGTTACTCATGGCAATGCTTAGGGGACCCTATGGGACTAGGGATTAAGCCCAGGCCTTTACATGATAAGTATCCACTCCACTCCAGTTTGTTGAACTCTTTTCCCAGCTCTACAGTACTTTTTTCTTCTGTGAACCTCAAGCTCTGCTCATCATCCTGCTATTTTCTGCTCTCTGCCAGGGAAAACTGAAGTACTGAAATCCCAGACCCTATTCCCCAAAGATTCTGAACACTAGCCAACTTGGGTCACAAAGAGAAAAAAGTAGAGTGTACTTTCCCTTTCTGCTTCCCAGGTGTAGGGAAAGATGGTTTCAAGTGTCCACTAAGGAATATTTTTACCTTCTTTCTGCCAAGAGATATTATCAATGAAAGTATTCAGTGTCTAGGAAAAATCACAGCCTGTGAATAGTTTGGCTTCCAGCCTTTTCACAAAGATAAAGGCTCATTATCTATGCTGCTAAGCTAGTTTCTGTTGCAAAAATGTAGTCCCTAGCTTTTCCTCTATCTTTGAGAAGGAAAAACCTTTGATAAGGCATACTGAGATTTTTCTCAAACCCAGCTGACCAAAAAGACCGCAATGCTATTTTTGTGGTGTGAGTGTGCAAAGAACCCTCCAAACCCCCAACATTTCTGAGGCAGGGTAGGTTCTCACTTTCATGAGAACAATACATAGATTCAGAAATCATGCAACCTGACTATTACCATGACAGAAACAGTGCACATTTTTTAGTGTTCCTCCAGAATCCACTCTTATTGCTACATTTAAAATGCATATTTCTGTAAGTACCAAACAGCTACTACCTTCCATGCCATATATTTGCATGAGCTTCCGCTGGAGAAGAAAAGGGGAGGTATACCTTTAAAGGGCTGAAGATGATCCAGACCTTCTCATAGTTTATACCTTTGGGTCTCTGGCAAAGTCGATGTTAATTTTGATTACCAAAGAGGGACTGTAAGAGTTAACTCTGGTCACTTACACCAGCCAAATAAACAGCTCAGTTGTGCTTTGACCCTGCATATTTTTCAAGTGTGAACTTAGTACTGGTGTTAGAGTTGAGAGAAGGCGGACATTATAGAAATAGTACTCAAGTTGTGTTAGTAATTTTTATCCGAACTGCTTAGAGAAGGAATCCTTTGTGTCGTTAACGAGCACTGGATTTCATCAGAGATTTTTCTACTATTTCAAATGCTGGGTAGCAAAGGAGGTAAAGGGGTAAAAAATGGAAGGTCTGCTGAGAAACAAAGGTGGTACAGTTTCCTGGAACGTCCTTTATCTGTTTGGGAATGCATCTCAGTAAAGCTTCTGGGTGGACAGTTTCAACAAAGTCCTTTGGAAAAGACTATGTTCTGTGCTTAAAAACTTGTGGAACAATTGCAGCAAAGGGCTATCTTCCTCCCTTCCAAAGGTACTACCCATGAAATTTAGAATATGATGAAGACGTTTATCTTCTTTGTACTTCATTTCCATTTCTTTCTTTTCTCCCTTTGTATTTAAGCATTGCTAGTTTGGACTTTAGAAGAAGCATGATGATAAACCAGGGCTTTTGTGTTGTACTTTTCTCAACATTTTTCTTTCTTTCCACAAGGAAAACCTAATAGAAGTGTCTGCCATGAAAGATTTATTTGTTTGGAAGGATTTCTTCATACCACTGCCTGCTTTTTCTAGAGAGGATTATCAATATGTTTCTATGTTTTTTATTGTCTCTGAAAATAGTGTTGTCCTCTGCCCGTCAGAAGTCACAGTGAATTTGCATCTGGTTCCATCTCTACCATTTTTTAAAGTGTTCATCTGGGAGACTAATCCAGGAATAGTTTATTCTGGGGTGTGCAAATGTTTGTGTGTGAAATAATCATAATTTCATTTTGTTTATGAGCTATTAGTCTATTTTAAAAGCTAGTCTATTTTACAGTTATGAAATCTTGCTTCCTACTTAAAATACTTGAGTTTTATTTCACCTTTGCTTTTTCTTTTTTTTTTTTTTCAGGCTCAAAAATCCTGGATAGAAAGAGCATTTTATAAAAGAGAATGTGTTCACATCATACCCAGCACCAAAGACCCCCATAGGTAATCTTGCTCTCTCTGTAATGTATCAGAAACATGGAGTATCAATGGGAGGAACAAAACAATAGGAATTCCTGTCCTTTGCAAAGAAACTAGTGTCAAATTTAAATTTATCTTTATTGTTTCTAAAACATCTTTGGATCCTGTGTGTGTGTGTGTGTCTCTGTAAATTCTATAGAAGACAGTACAGAATAAAAAATATGCTACTTAGGAAGAACCTAACAATAATCTATTAAAAAAAGTTTATTTGTTTATTTAGCATGGCTAAAAACATGGAAAACCAGTATTTTCCATTTTTTAATATTTTCCTTTTAAGTATCTTATCAAAATGCTTACTTTGTTCCCACTAACATGTTTAGATACTAAGTCATATGGACTATCTATGTAAAGTATTGAGCAAACTAACTAATCTTCAAGTCTATAATTTTTAAATCCTAAAATTGATACCAATCATTAGTGTTTATTAAATGGTAATTATATAGCAGTGTTATTACTAATAGTCAAAGTAAAGTATGAAGAATATTTTCCTGATGTGAGGCATAAATTTTAAGCTTTTTGATATGTCATGAATATTTTCTCCTTTTTTTAAGCCTGAACCATTTTTATATCAATTGGGAAAAGCAAGTTAGGTTGTGACTTGTATATGAGTAGTATTTTATTTACTTGGATTTTTAATTTTTATTTAATATTTTAATGCATATTCTCTTTGAGATGTGAAAGGAGAGAAATAAGAAATAATTAAACTTAGAGGGTTTTTTTGTTCATAGACTCTAATCCTAAATAATACAGCAGAAGTTAGACTGGAGCAATAGTGCAGTGGGTAGGGCACTTGCGTTGCAATTTAACTAACCTGGGCTCAATCACTGGTAGCACACATGATTCCCTGAGCACTGAAAGAAGTGATCTCTGAGTGCATAGCCAGAAGTAAGCCCCAAGTATTGTTGAGTATGCCCCCCCCCACAAACCAACAATAACAAAAAAAAATTAGAAAGAAGTCAAAGAAAAGGGCAGGAAGGGACAGAAGCATCTTACTGTTTATACAGATAAAGAAAGCCAAGGAAGTTATAAAAAATATGTATGTTAAGCAAATTCTGTGTTTATTTATAGTGTTATACCATCGCATAATGGGATTCCACCTGAAAATTCTTTGAACTGCCTCTGCTTGTGGATTTCCCCAGTACATTCCTTTAAGTGTGATTCTAATGATGTCAGCTCATGGGGTTCATCTTGGATTCTTGTGTTATAGGTGTTGCTGTGGGCGTCTCATAGGCCAACATGTTGGCCTCACTCCTAGTATCTCCGTTCTCCAGAATGAAAAAAATGAAAGCCGCCTCTCCAGAAATGACATCCAGTCTGAGAAGTGGTCCATCAGCAAGCACACTCAACTCAGCCCAACAGATGCTTTTGGGACTATCGAGTTCCAAGGAGGCGGCCATTCCAACAAAGCCATGGTAATTGGATAAGCCATTTCGTGAAGTTCCAAATTCTATCTCAAGTCCTACAGGGAAGTGCAGGAGAGCTGAAGATTTGTTCCATAGACCTGATCCCCACACTGCCCCTAGCTGTCTGGAGGACCTGTTCTAATTGGATGTCCCCTACATGTCTCTGCTCTTCCTTTATCAAATGGGATGGGGAAAAAAATCTTCCTCCAAGGATATCCAAAACAGCTTTATGAAATCAGACACAATAACTATTGTTATTATTCATAATAACAAAGTGTTCTAGCGTTAGCTGCTGTTCATTGTGTCACTTTCTTGGTCTCATTCTTTAAGACATAAATGTCTTACCAACTTTTTTGATGCAAAAAGAAAATTTTTTTTCTGTAGATAACTAACATTTTTCTCAATCCAAGTTAAAAATGATTCTCCCAGATATGACTTTTCTTCTCTGTATTAACAGAAATCTTTCTACCCAAAATGACTCAGGAAATCCTCGAAGCAACTATTTCAATAATGCTTTTTGAGTATGTGTGCACATATATATGCATATATATAAATATATATATGCATATATATATAAATATATATGCATATATATGCACACATACATGTATGTATATGTAAAATATGTGTATATCTATCTCACGGTCATGGTCACAGTCCTCCCGTTTTTCATCGATTTGCTCAAGTGGGCCCAGTAACGGCTCCATCATGAGACTTATTGTTACTGTGTTTGGCATATCAAATACGTCACGGGTAGCTTGCCAGGCTTTGCCGTGCAGGCGAGATGTATATCTATCTATATATATAAAATTTAAAGGGGATGTTGTGAAATATACAGTTTGCTTTGAATTGTGCTTTCATCATGGATCTCTCTCCCACTCTGGCTGACATATTTTGTCAGCAATAAGTGTACCAGAGAAGCTATCACAATCACGATCATCCTGTTGTTCATCAATTTCCTTGAGCAGGCACCAGTAACGTCTCCTTCTTCCTAGCCCTGAGATTTTAAAAGAGCCATTTCAATGCTCTTTCAGGATTAGGAGAATGAGACCCATCATTGTTACTGGTATTTGGCATATTGAGTACGACACGGGAAATTTGCCAGACTCTGCCATGCAGGCAGGATACTTTCGGTAGCCTGCCAGGTTCTCCAAAGGAAAAAATAAGATGTCGCGCGTGCTTCCAGGAGCTGGGTTTTATAGTCTCTGTGTCTTGGCCATTGATGGAACCAACCTGGCGCTGGCGGCAGCTGGTGGGTGTGATGCCTACCTACTGGAAGATGGGGGGGTCTAGCTGGAGAAGGCCCAGTCCCAATCCAAGTAGGCTTGGAGACCTCAGCCCCAGGACCTGCATGCATGGGTTCCTCTGCCAGTTCTTTCATGCATGAGGCCCATCCGGACGTGCGGAGAGTGGTCCCAGCACGGCCGTGGCTATGGAGGTCCTCAGCTGCTGTATTGCAACAAGTTTAATTCTAACTAGAGAGAGACAGAGAAAGAGAGAGAGACAAAGAGAGAGAGACAGAGAGACAGAGATATGAATGGTGGAGAAATGGATGTACCTGTTTCAGATGTACCATGGAGCTTTCTGAGTTTGGAGAAGAAATTTTGCTGAGAGAAGCATACTGAAAAATGCAGGAAAGTCACATCACATCAGTTACAACCTAAAAATGTTCAATAATTCCACCTCTCATCTCTTTTTCTCTCCCTTCGTTCCCTCCTCTCAGCAGTATGTTCTTCACCAAGAATGGCTGACTAAGCTATTCTCACCATTCTTTGCTAAGAAAATTAATTCTGAAATATAGATTAAAATAAAGCCAATATGTGCTATGTATCGGGGGAAAAAAGAGTCTGTAATCTCCGGCACGGTCAGGCAAAACAATGAAAAGGCTACTTAGTCTTGGCCTGCATAGACCCAAGGGAAGTGGAGATTTGGCGACTTCCTCATCTACCGAGGGTTTGTAGTAGCTTATCCTGAGATAATTCAGGGTTCCTGTTTAGCCCAGTATATGAGATTCAACAATGCGTTAAATAAAATGCAAGTTTCCCTACATGAAAATTTTTTCTAATTAAAAAAAAATGGCTTAGGGTACAAAACTCATTCCAGAGTGACAGACCCAGAGCCTCCATAGGGTGCTAGAGTGGGTACAGTTGTCTCAGATCAAGACCAGAAACATACTTAAGTTACTTGTTAATTGTTGCACTATAGCCCTGTCCTCCCGTTGTTCATCGATTTGCTTGAGCAGGCACCAGTAACGTCTCCATTGTGAGACCTCTTGTTACTGTTTTTGGTATATCAAATATGTCCCGGGGAGCTTGTCAGGCTCTGCCATGTGGTCGGGATAGTCTCGGTAGCTTGCCAGGGTCTCCAAGAAGGGTGGAGGAATCAAACCTGGATCAGCTTCATACAAGGCAAACGCCCTACCTGCTATGCTATTGCTCCAGCCACTTGTTAATTGTTAGTCACTGTCACGGTCCTCCCATTGTTAATTGATTTGCTTGAGCGGGCCCAGTAACGTCTCCATCGTGAGACTTGTTGTTATTGTGTTTGACATATTGAATATATCACGGGGAGTTTGCCAGGCTTTGCCGTGTGGGCAAGATACTCTTGGTAGTTTGCCAGGCTCTCTGAGAGGGATGGTGGACTCGAATCCAGGTCAGCCGGGCTGGCTGTGTGCAAGGCAAACACCCTACTGCTGTGCTATTGGTATATAAAAATTTTTGTTTGTTTTGGGAGATTGATTTTGCTAGGCTACGCTTGGCAGTTTTCAAGGCTTACTCCTGGCTCTGCACTCAGGAATCACTCCTAGCAAAGCTCAGAGAAACATATGTGGTACCCAGGTTGGTTCGTGCAAGGCAAACCTCACTATTCTTATCTTACTATCCCTCTGGCTTAGTATTTAATAATTTGTAACTCTGGTTCAGTGTTATTACTTAAATGACAGTGATATAAGGAGTCAACTATAAAATTTTTAGACACCTCATGAATAATTTTGCTTATTTCTTCAAGACCACAGAAGTTTACACATGTTTATTCTCAGAATTTTATACTTGGGGAGACTCTAATTACTATGATACAATGTATGTGAAGCAAATGCTAAAGGGACTGATTTTAGACAGTTTACAGATCAAAAGGAAAAGACAGTCACTATTTTCACCACGTGGTGTTCTTGATCAAAATTTAATCTTAAGTACTAAAAATTTAACTAAGTTAGGACTCACTCACAAGTGATTTGTGTTAGTTTTTTAAAATCTGATAAATCATGGGGCAGGAGAGATAGTACAGCAAATTGGGTGCATGCCTTGCATACAGATGACCTGAGTTCAATCCCTGGTATCCTATTTGGTTGCCTGGGCACCACCAAAAATAATTCCTGAATGCAGAGCCAGGAGTAAGCCAGAGCGTGCTGGGTATGCCCCCAACAAAAAGTCTGATAGACCACAAAAAAATCTATTTTATCACTAAAAATTTTACAATAATTCGATGTTCTTGCTAGTAGTTGAAAGATAGAGATTCTGAATACAATGAATATTTATCACAGAACCATGATGTTTGCTGTGTGACATAGGGAAATTTTCTTAAATCCCAAGGACCTCTCTAAATCTGTTCTGTTGTCTGAGAAGAAGAATGCTACTTTAATCAGTATCAAATGAGATGGCATATGAATACATTGGCACAGTGCCAAGCACATGCAGATGTTATATTGACATTTAACTTTCTCCCCTTTTTTGTGGAGGTATAAGGAGGGGTTGAGTTTGGACCTCATCACTTCTCGGGGTTTATTCTTGGCTCTCTGCTCAGGGATCACTCCTTCTGCTCAGGGATCACTCCTGGTGGTGCTCAGGGGACTATCTGCCAAGAATCCAACCTAAGTTGTTCTTGTACAAGGCAACCATCTTAACCCCTGTACCATTTACTCTCTCCTTAGCCCTCCCAGAAATATTTAATTTTTAATTTTAATTGTGATATGGTTAAGTTAATGTAATTTCTCCATATTTCATTTTCTTCATCTGCAAAATGGGAGTAATCACTCCTATTTGATAGAACTGAAACAATAATTAAATGAATGAATATGTATTATGTGCTTGGAACAGTGCCTGGTATTATATTGAGGCAAAGGATTGCTGTGTTAATAGTCCTACATCGCTAGCAAAGAGACTATGATCCATTAAAATAAGATACATGAGAGATCAGAGTCTGTACAGCAGTAGGGCATTTGCTTGCTTGCGACCAACCCAGATTCAGTCCATGGCACCACATATGGCTGCCCAAGCCCTGCCAGTAGTGATCCCTCAGAGCAGAGGGATCCCTGAGCATCACTGGTTGTAGCCCAAACCTTCCCCCACTTTTTTTAAAATCAAAAATAAATAAGATGCACAGACTTGGAGTCAGAACTGGACCCAAACAAACCCTTACTCTCTCGTCATCTAGCTAGAATTTCTTGGTTTTAGCCAGTTAATTACCTAAGATTCAAGTTTATACACACACACACACATATATAATATATATATATATGTATATATACATATATATGGGCTAGAGCAATAGCACAGCAGTAGGGCATTTGCCTTGCAAGCGGCCAACATGGCCAACCAGAGTTTGATTCCTCCACCCCTCTCGGAGAGCCCGGCAAGCTACTGAGAGTATCTTCCCCGCACGGCAAAGCCTGGCAAGCTACCCGTGACGTATTCAATATGCCAAACACAGTAACAATTGTCGCAATGGAGACATTACTAGGCCCACTCAAGCAAATCAATGAACAACGGGAGGACAGTGACAGTGACATATACATACTTTATGTATGTATACTTATGTGTTCATATAACTGGTATATCTGAGTTTGGGTTATTTTTTCTGAAGTTTTAAAAAATATATAAAATCTCCCAGTATTGGGGTCAAAGCAATAGTAGAGTAGGTAGGGTATTTGCTTGCACATGACTGACCATCCCCACCTGAGAGCCAGCAAGGAGTAATCCCTCATTACCACCCCATATGGCCCATAAACCATAATA